TATTCATAAATATTTTGCTTTGGACTACATATAAAACTGTTGCGTCATCAAAGGGGTCTTAATCTTTAAGACCCTTTTTAAGTTGCAACCCCTCATATATATATATATATACATAAGAAAAAAATGAAACGACTAAAGATTTGGCATCATTTACTACTATATAGTTTCGTACCGCACAAAGAATTGTGCGGCACTCATCAGGTAAGTAGCCAAATTTAAAAATTTTAATATATATATATATATATAATATTGAAGTGATACTCTTACGTTGGCTTATTAAATCAATTACAATGTAAGAAATGTTTTTTGATTATTTGTTTTTTCTACTTGTATTTGTGATATTTTTCAAATTCGTATTTTAAACTTAAAAGTTCATAATTATTATTATAAAATGTTTATTATTATTCATTTCGAACTTGAAAGTTCATAATTATTATTATAAAATGATTATTATTATTTATCTGATTTGGTAGAGTACAAACACTAAAATTGTGCAAACCTTTGTGCTATATAATACTACAAAATAGTGCTAATTAAACAATAGAAAACATTAGAATAGCATAATTTAGCAGCATTTAGTGGTATTTATGTTGCACAGTTTTAGTATTTGTACAAGTACATTGTGAATGAACTAATTGTTATTTTGATAAAAATAAAAAATTGTTATTACAGCAAAAAGGCTATGGTTGAAACAATTCACTTTGCTGTTGTATAAGATGATAAAAAGTCACCTGACAAGGATAAAATGTGATACATAGCTATAACTAAAGTTACAATGATAATATAATATTGTACAGAACCACCATAAATAAAATGGCTTTCTTTTAATAAGTCTCTGAAGGTATTGCATTCTCCGCGCACTTTAGCCTTCTGGCTCTATTTCTTAACAAAAAAATGCATATTTTTTAATCCTTATTTATCTTTTTTTGTTACAAAGCACCTTTCTTTGTCAAGTTAAAAGCAAAAAGAGCAATAAAACAGTTTCAGTTTTGTATTGTAAAAATGTCAAAAGAGTAAATTTGATGTTAAGAGCGAATGTCAGCAAGCGTCAAGCAAAATCGAAAATTGGTGGCCACAGTTGAAAAATCGATTTCGCTCAAACTTTTATATGTGGTAGCCTMATGTATACCTATTACCACTATGTAGTTTATTAGAGAAAATAACGTTTTGTTTCCGAGATATAGAGCCGAGAGTGGAGGTAGGTCAATATGCTAATTAGCACGTTTTCACAACAACATTCTTGGTGTTATTGCGTGACCTCGTGTGCAAAAAATACTTGACCTTTGGAGTTTAAATCTTTACAGGGCTTTTGTACATCATCTCATATTACCTCAGTCGTAATATTAAGCTCTAAGATCATACCCTTAATTTTTGGTGTGTTTTTTTTAAGTAACAGCTTTTTTCCGTTGTCCAAAAGTATGCTCAAATCAAATGCAATTTTGAACATGTCCGATATAACTTTATTTAAAGATATTCAGGAATTTGAAAGAGGAGAGAATGAGGATTCTTTTGATGTAAAAATTTGTTTGTGTATTTACGTTGTCTTTTTACTGTGATCGTTTAAAGTTGGTCAATATTCATCATTTTCGATGTTGAAATCTACAACGTATTGTGTATATTTTCTTCATTAGTTTGTCAAAGCGCTGTATTTCAAATAAGTTTACAGCTTCAATTAAGTTTATATTTGACTATATTAAGCATTAGAAAGCGATTTTGGTATACAAATAAAATTCGGAAATTCGGTTATTATTGTTTGAGATATTATGAATTGTCGCTTAGTTTATAAATAAAAAATATCATCATAGATATCAGATCGTGTTTAAATATTTTGAAATGTTGTTAGAAGCTGGTTTGGTAGACTAGTAAATCCTTGAAAATGTTTATTAGATTGTTTCATTTAGGACCAGTACATATGTCGAGCCAGCTTCGCGCCGATTACACCATTTCGCGGTTACTCGAAATTTTACATTACGTCGTTATGGTAAATCATTGACATCACTGGAAAGAGCGTCATAAAATCAGCAAATTTGCCAAGTTTAAAAAAAATCTGATGAAAATTCAAAGAGATACGACACTTCGAAAACAGTAAATTTTGCATAGAATGTTTGGCGATGTTGTAACAACCCTCGATCTCATGCCGACACACCATACTTTACTTAGTGTATCAATTTTGGACTTTTAAACGCTGCATCTCCTTGAATTTTCATCGAATCATGCTCAAACCTGGTAAACATACTTATCTTATACTATTTATCGGMTTTGGATTGAATTATCCAAGTGTCTACGGTAACCTTAGCGAACATACACGATACACAAAATGAGACAAACTTTAAACGATCACAGTAAAAAGACAACGTAAATACACAAACAAATTTTTACATCAAAAGAATCCTCATTCTCTCCTCTTTCAAATTCCTGAATATCTTTAAATAAAGTTATATCGGACATGTTCAAAATTGCATTTGATTTGAGCATACTTTTGGACAACGGAAAAAAGCTGTTACTTAAAAAAACACACCAAAATTAAGGGTATGATCTTAGAGCTTAATATTACGACTGAGGTAATATGAGATGATGTACAAAAGCCCTGTAAAGATTTAAACTCCAAAGGTCAAGTATTTTTTGCACACGRGGTCACRCAATAASACCAAGAAYGKTGTTKTGAAAACGTGCTAATTAGCATATTGACCGACCTCCACTCTCGGCTCTATATCTCGAAAACAAAACGTTATTTTYWCTAATAAACTACATAGTGGTAATAAGCATACATTAGGCTACCACATATAAAAGTTTGAGCGAAATCGATTTTTCAACTGTGGCCATGATATGTTTGATGCTTGCTGACATACGCTCTTAACATGCAGAGAACACAATAGCTAAGGGACTTATTAAAAGGGTGTATAGCTGGTCTATGCTAATCTGAGCAAAGGATAGATGATTATAGGTTAAAAACCAAAAAGATTGATTGTTCTTCCTTTACCAGTAGGATTTCCTAACAACACCAGTGAATTAATAATATACAACTATGAATATAGTACATCTAAAATATATTCTAAGATATGTCTTCTAAAAACTATGGTATCTCAATATCAAATATCATAAGATTATGAAATATAATCAAAAAATGCATATTTTCATTTGATTTTGAGTATTGAGTTGATTTCTATCAAAAATTACTTGCATTATATTATTTCTTCATGTGCTTTCAAATCCATGTATAAACCTGAAAAGTATATAAATATCATCATGAATGATTGTAAAATTTTAAGTGAAATAACAAAATTACATTTTATTGCACAACTATGATGAAAATATTGATAATAATCTAAAAAAAATATAAAAAGGTAAATTATTTTTTAGGGGGGATCTAGAGGGGGAGCAGTAGCCACAACCAAACCTCCTTTTATTGAGATACAGACAAAACTATCTCACCTTTGTCTTGTACTCTAGTTTAGTATTGTCTGTGGATCAGGGTATATTTTTTGTCTGAAGTGCTTTCATAGACAGAAAGAGTTCTGGCAGTAATATCCTATAGCCATCAGAACAAAGACATTTCAAAATCATTTAAATGTTAGTTGTACAGATTAGAAGGGGTTCATAAAACACACTAAATTATACAAATATGTTGCACTAGCTATTACATTTTAGAGTACAAACATTAAATGAGTGCAACACTTTCCACTATTTACTACAAAACAGTGTTAATTAAACAATAGAAAACAATAGAATAGCATAATTTAGCAGTATTTAGTGGTATTTATTGTTGCACAGTTTTAGTGTTTGTACTCTATCATGCATATATACATATGCAAGATATTCCATTATGTTGTTAGAGATGGGCTCTAATACACTGGTTTAATTTGTTCATGCAGTAATCTGATAATGTTAACAATATGATGATTAGTGATAAAACAGTTGGTTGTGATGACAAAGATAAATGAAAAACCTAAGTTAGAAAACCTACAATAAGTGACTAGCAAGTACCGATAATATACATATTATTATATTTTAATTAACAGATGGATGATATTATACATTTTTTGGTGGATCTGCAAGCGCCGATTGTATTTGTTATTAAAATATATAAGAATATGACATAATAAAAAAATTTTAAGCCCAGGGATGAGGGAGGGGGCGACAGTACCCCTTTGCCCCTCCTTGGATCCACCCTCGGTCTGTTTTGAGATGGAATTATATCTAATTTACTATTGATCATCATTATTTAATCTATTATTTGAATATTCATGAAAACGATATCTTATCATCTAAATACCTGAATTTCTGGTTTCATACCTCAACGTTTGCCAGAATGAATGCCATTGCATTTTGTAATTTTTGAAACTTTATGTTGTACAACTCCAACATTTGCTCTATAATTCCAATGATGAAGTCAACATGGTAGATATCTGTATTTGAGTCGTCTCCATCCAATTCTGAAGGCACTCTCCCAACACCGCAAAGATTGAATGCGATTTCAACAATTTTTCTCAATATAAAATGTTTGATACGATCATGTAGTTGTTGCTGAGCGTCCATAATTAATGATTTTAGCTGAAATTAAAATAATAATTTTTGGGTGAAAACAACTAAGAAATAAAATCATTTAATGCAATACTGATCAAGAATATGAAAAAAATGCGGGTTTTTTTATTTGCCAGACAAAACTAATCCTATTGTTATCTATAACCGTCTCGCTTCCGTCTGGGGTCACCGTAAAACACTTGTCAATATAAACACCCAACTTATTACACTTCCTGAAAAGCCAATTAATCGTTCTAAAGGTTCTTCTTTTCCTCTGTCTTTTTCGAGTGTCTTCGTGAATTTAATGCGTCACTGGCATTGGCTTTTTATTTTCATAAAATTGTGAAATTCTCACAGATCATACCATCGCGTGATACAGGTGACAGAAATGGCGTCTATGAGTTAATACGACATGGCAAGGGTGAAATATATCACGAATAATTGACTTCATAAAAATGTGATACGCACCTGATTGATGCTTACTTTTCGAGAGTAAAACAGGAAGGCGACACTCTTTTTATGGTTCTCCAAAACCTGGTACTAATCTGCCGAGAGAAATGGAACAGTTTGAAAAAATCCCGTCGCTTCAGTGTTTATTATTATGAAGCTGTTAAAATCAGCATGTACGTGATTTCTTGGATTTTTATTTACCTTATTTGATTTCTTACTGACTAATTTTCTTGTTGACTAATTTTCGACTAAATTTTCCAACATTATGATTGATTATGATTATAGGTTAAACCTTTAAAAAGGTTTATAATTGCAATTTTATATTCGGAAAGTTCACGACGGAGTTCCGTCGCCAACATATTAATGGTTTCCATTAGGCTTAGTTACAAACCTGTTAAATTCAATTAGAAAGTTGTTTTAAGCTCTATAAATAAAGAAACACCTCGACTAAAAAGACGCAGCATAGGAAGATTGATTCGCGTTGAGCTACGGTGATTAATTGACAATATTCGAAATAACGATTTCAAAGAAAATTTCTGTCGACATCGTGGCGTCGAGTTCGATCTGAAGCTGGCATTAACCTATATATATGCAGTTAGGACATTCCTCAAACAGAATTTTGATGAAATATTGGCTATTTGAACACGACATCATGTTCTTTAAACCGTTCAACACCCAATAACAAGTTTCCTTGAGAAATCTGACAGTTTTCCATGTTCTGGTGTGATGAAGTTTATGTATAAGTTACGGTAGGAGAGCGAACTTCAAGACGTAGCTAAACGAATCGGGGAAAAAACCTTCCTTCTGGTYCTTATGCTATCTATGATTGTCTGATTGTCTTGATTTCGATAATACCTTTTTTTCACTGGACAACTGTGATTGCTTGGATGATTTGCAGCTCCTTCAGCGGAAGATATTTTCGATTTATTATTTATTATTTTTTTCTCTTGTCAAGTCAGTTCTACCATGTGTGTTTGTTGTGATCACATGAGCGCTCGTCACAGATGACTGAAATCGTGACGTCATATAAGGACAGGAAGTGCAAAAATGGCGGGAAAGTGTGTCTATGGTATTGAATCGGTTACTTCCTTCTTATATTCATTTAAATGACGGAAATAAGGGTGCACTTTTTAATTACAATGTTTGATACAGTTTTGTTTCATAATACAATGAAAACATTTTGATAAAAATAATTGGACTTATTTGGTATTTGGACTTTGCACTTTGAAGTTTGGACTTTGCACTTTGGAATTATTTGGGCTTTGGATATTAGACTTTTTTACGGCTGTAAAATACCTTTCTCATCCCTAATAAGTTACTCAAATTTCAGATTTAGACAAAAGAACAGACTGGACACAGACGAGTTTTTAAATTTTGCAGTAAATGTTCATTGTCGTGTCTGCAGTGCTGGTACATGCCTGAAAACATTGTTTTACAGCATTGGAGTAATTGTTATTTTAACAAATATTCTAAAACGTTTCCATATTCTTCCTTCAAGCAAACCAAGTATTTCCAATTACATATTTTCCATGCAAACACATATTCCTTAATTATATATCTGTTCGCAGTTTCGCGATACTGAATAATTTATCCCGGCCACCCCAAAAAGCAGGAGTATTATTACCCATTCATGCTCTAACAGTCATATATGTCTGTATATGTAGTTTTTCGATGATGGGAGTTTATGAATTAAGTGAATTGTGAAAATCAGGCAAAATGCAGTTTACTAATTTACTAATAACCAAGTTCAATATTTTCAATTGTTGGAGACTCAGTGAGTTTCAGTATATTTTACTCCTGGAACTTCCAAACCRTCCAACTCTAACTAAAGCATAAACAAAAGGAATCCAAACAACATTAATTTGCTTCATTTTTTTATTTCATCCAGCTATCTCTAGGCTTAGATTACTGCAGTCATTGGTTAGCCTTACACGGTTTTGCAAGATCTTATCCGATTGGTTTAGTATAGCTATTTGTTGAATTAAAGAAACTAATAATATAATTTAAGAAAGAGCAAACAATGATCATTGTTTAATTTCTCAAATCACAAGAAACATTACAAACTTGTGAAGGATAACAACGAGTCACTACTCCTAAGATAAACTAGTTAAAGTTTGACCACTTAGTACAACATATTATTGCCACATTTAGAGTGAATTTCCAACAGCCATATGAGACATCTTGGCTAGTGCTATTGGATAGAACAAAACAGAAATTTATCAATTGGTCTGTAAAAAGTCACTCTATGCATGCTTTTGATTCATGCTAAACAGATAGCTTATCCTCCAATAGCAACTACTGGGATTCCTGTCTCAAGCAAAATTATTTATAATTAAGAAACTGGAGTTGCATATGAAGAAGACTAACTGTTTGCAATATAACAGGTACAATTTCATTAACATTGACATAAAATTAGGAATTATATTGAAATTATGAATATATTTTACGCAAAATGCATTATTGAATTTTTGATATATTCTTGAAATTTTATTCTAATTATAGGCACTTCCTTTGAGGAATTATAAATAAATTATTAAAAAGTTATTTTATGTTTTAATGATGGCACCATCAAATTTATTTTAATCTATAAAACGCTGCTAAAAACTCTACTTAACTTGTACTATATCTATTTAATTTTGACTGTAGAGTGGTTTGCCGTCAACTATGAAAAGTAATAGACCAACTTGTTAGTACCAATGAGTAATAGACTAGTCAATATAACTTTTAGACATATAAACTATAACCGAATAGCTAACAAACAACAGACTAGTCTGAATAAATTAAACGTTTAGTTTAATTAGTTACCATTATAACAAAATTGACCATTAAAATTTAAAATAAAAAATACTTGTTTTTGTGATGAATATGTTTATACAATTATCGGATACAAGCTAGACTATTAGTATTGGTCTATTACAAACTAATAATAACTATTAGACTTATTATGTTTTCATGGTTGACGGAAAACCACTCTAATGCTCTTTGAAAATTAAATTAGCAATAATAAGCTTAATTATACTATTATTGCCATCATTATACTACAATCTTAATAAGAACAAGGGTAATGGTGGTAAAATAATGCATTATGCAAATTAATGTTTTCATTATTTACTTCTAATCAAATCACATTTGAATCAGATTTAAAAATAGTGAGAGAATGGCCTCTCGGTTTTTGATTTTTTGTACACAACAGAGTGAGAGAGAGAGCCTAAATATACACATCCAGAGTGTCCAATAGCTATGACATCATTCAATGCTTGGTGAAATGCACTATGGGATACCCTGTGTACCTCATTCCCACCTACCCCTCCCCCCTAAAGGGAAATTCTCCCTGTAGGAGGAGGGGTGGGAATGGATGTACTTAGCTAGGCTAACTATGGTATTGAAGAAAGTACAAACTCAAGTCAAGTTCAATGTATAACAAAATTCTTCAACAATGTTCTACATCCACCTTATTGATGGTTTTCAACCATTCCCATGAGAGTGAGCAAAACAAAAAGGTCCACCAGTCACAGTGGTGGTTTTCTTTTGTCAGGTCCACCAGCAATGGCGGACATCTTTTGTTCAACTTTCTCTCCTGGGAATGGTTGAAAACCATCAATTGATACTTTCATCAATATATCATGCATGATGCACTTTGCAAACACAAGCATTACGTCGTCAAAACTACAAATTATTGCTAATGACTTGCACTCCACATCCTGGATGCAATATCTATATTTTCGCTATCGCCACCCAAATGTGTACATCATTTCATCCTATATAATAAGAATACAGGCATACTTATCAATGCACAATTTTAGTAGCACAATCTATAAGTTATCAAACGTAATTAAATATGTTGGAAAAACCCATACATTTAAGAAACATATCAGAAAATGGATGTTCCTTAAATATAAAGCTGTAATTTCCAATTCTGCTTTTGAGGAGTTCCCACCCCCTCTTAAACAGTACCTCAGGGTTTCTGCAGGGTTTCACAGACCTTGTGCAGTGATAGATACACTTTGTTGGTACCTCCTGACAAGTATTCCCAGGTGTCAAACACTACATCTTTATAACAATAGTATCAATCAAATGTTTTCTCTCAGCCACCTTAAAAAAACTTGACCTTTCATGTTTACACAGAGAAAGAAATTAATATTCATACATAATCAAAGCTTAGCGACTGAATAATATAACATGTTTAGGCAAATATGATGTAATTTTTCAGAGTTTCCAAGATCCCTTACAGTCTTAGCTTTGATAACCTTTTTGGGCCTAGCGTTTCTTTATATGTGAAGAAAACTATTGTACAGATATCTGAATTTGAGTGGGAATACTTGTAGGTTCTATAATAGCAGGCTACAGAACAGCTCACTCCTAACCGTTCCAAATTACAGCAGCTTGTCAATGTGAACAGCTACAGTGCCAAAAGGTTTGACTTTAACTTTGAAAGACAACCAATCAGTCCTTTGGTCAGTACAATGATGTCTGAATATCAGTATCAATGTTACTTGATAGATCTACAGAGCCTGATCCTAAACAAGAATGGCAAAAACACCATCATCATTTATTTTTCACATCGTAAAACCAGAGCTTCTCTTGGGATTTCATCAATACAAAGTGACAAACAGTAACAAAACAAAAAAGAAACAAGCAAAGAAGAAAAAGAGAAATTTAATGACATGATTATAATTTCTGCACAAGTTTTAAGGTATAATTATATCATATTGATTTATCAAGATTCGAAAAATGTATCAGTGAATGAATTAATTTTATATCTCACTAAATACATAATTCAAAATCATAGGCTATTAGAGAATGTTGTGGCCAATAGTGGTGTACAGTTACCACTGAATATTTTTCTGTATATAATATAAAAAATGTAAATTACCTGCAATTATTTCAGTCTGTGGCATGCTGAAAAAGTCTGCATTTCCTTATATGCTTGCCTCAGTTTCTTATCTTCTTCATCTATTCTAGTTTGGATGTAGAACAGCTGTTCCATGTACACCTTCTCCTAAAACAAAATTCACAAGACTTGGCATCATATCTATATTGCAATACAAATCTCAAGCTTTTCAAAATATAAAAAATATTAAAAAAAATAAAAATACAAAAATTTAAATAAAATAAAACAATAAAATATATATATAAAAAAAAGAAAATAATTTTAAATAATTTAAAAAAAATATTTATCAAGCTTACACAAAATATAGAGATAGCACATTATCATGTTATACCTGTCTACTTGCTTCATCTTTCATTGTTTCAATCCTCTCAAGTAGAATTTTATTTTCATCCTGTAGGTCTTCATTTCTTTTTAAGAGATGCTCTATAAACTACACATGCAAGAGAGAAATGTTCAATGTATCAGAGATGACCACACAGCTGTGCTTTGGCTTTTTTTTAACACTATAGATACTTTTCGGTTCTAATATACATAACATATCTTCAGTAATGTTATTATAAATAATACCTGAAGATTAGCCTTGGGCAATGCTTCTAAGTCTTTAATTCGTCTCTAAAATAAAAAAATATCAGATTCCATGACTGAAGACCTTTTTAATTTAATTGAAAGGTGGCAAACTGATTACGTTTTAAATTATGTTTTCACTGCATGCATGGAGCTTCCAACTCTCCTGGATAATTAGGGAGTGCTCAAGATTTTGGACTGTTTCTCCAGGTCCCAAGACTTCAATGTAAAATCTCCCAGTTTTTTAAGAAATTAAGTAAGAGTTACATACCGAGAACGGAGGCAATCAGCCTAATACATCCCGAGGGCCGTAGGCCCGAGGGATGTATAGGCTGATTGCCGACGTTCGAGGTATGTAACTGGCTTATTTCATACTTGAAGAAGTTTTCCAAGCACTGCATTAATATTTTCATTTTTAAATAGGCAAAGAAGCCGTTTTCATATGAATTAAAAACCAAACCCTCGATTAGAAAGATTACGAAATTTACAGTATTGAAAATTGGCCCAACGGGAATAATTTGCATAACCAATTTTCTCGTTAGTCCCATGAGACCAATGCTAACAATACACCTTTTGTAACAAGTAACTGGGCAGTTCCACATGAGAAGCCAAAAAAACATATTTTTTAAAAGTGGCCAATGAACCTGACAGTTGTGCTAGATCTCAAGCTTAATGATCAAACTTTAAAAGAACACTAAGACATTTGGGTTTAGGACTCAGGGGGAGAGCCCTGGGGGTGTGAAGTTCCTTGTTTTCCCAAATTATGAAATAATGACTAAGTAGGGTAACTTCAAATCTAAATTAGATATAGATAAAAAATAACAAGAGATGAGACCAACTTACATTTAGCTTCATATTATGATGCAGTTTCAGAATATGTAGCTTTTTTCTGAAGTTATTTGTTTTATAGGTGAATTTTTGTTGTTTAATTGTGTTACGGACATTACAGATCAAAATGGTGAAAAAGACAGTTTAATTCACTTTGCAAGCCAAAGGACAATCTTTATTCTATGGTATCTCAGATCCTCTGTTAGCTACTTATGGGTCATCATAACATACTGAGAAAATTTACAAATAATCATGTTTTATGGAAAAAATGGTGTTACGGACATTACATAAAAATGTTACGGACATTACATTTTGTGTATGTAATGTCCGTAACACAAATAAATGGTTACCTAAGATAAAAAATGTCAGCTCTGCGCAATCAATAACATTATTAATTATCTTTTATGTGACAGCTAAGCATAATATGTATTCCGGAGATATGATCAATTCTATGACAAGGTGCAAAAAATTGGAAAAGTTTTATATATACTGTCAGTGTATTTAATTACAGTTATGTGACGTAACATTCAATATAATACTAGTATATTGAGTGTTCATGCCATAATTGATAATAATCAAATGTCAGCTAAGCTAGCTTGAATGCTTGAAGAGTTTTTCAATAACTTTAAGACAATGAATGAGGAATGGCCCATCTCCTTGCAAATCAAATGGGCCCAAAAAACACAGGAAGTGTGGATCTCTGATTGGCCAGTCAAATGTCTCAGCCCCAGACCGATGTAAGAACGTGAACTTCACAAAGTCATTTTCATCTACCTCCAATGCTCGACCTAATTAGAACTTATTGATAAAATCCACAGCAAAGTACTTGCCACACATACATGTAGATTGTGCTGCGGGTGGCAAAGGATGAAGCACTTCTTCATGAAGTTTCATTTTCACCAGGGGTGATGGAGTCGGGGGGCAGGGGGTGGGGACTCTGGCCCTCCCACAGAATATTTTGGGGGGCCTAAACCCCCCTCCACGTCCC